TGGATGTCATAGGCGATCCCAGGAAGATTGCGGCCAGAATACCCCAAACGGCAGAAAATGAGGTTTTTGGAGGATATCTCGGAAAGTATTTGGCATACAACGATGAAATTTCACAGTTTCGTGGTAAATGTGCATACACATAATCCGGGTTGATACTTATGCATTTAAACATTATATAGGACCAGATATGTCCGAAAAAGCAAAACCAACAAGACTTTTACTGGAGAGCCGTACATTATTTGCCAATCGCCGTTCAGAATCAGCTGGCTCCCTTAGCCTGAACCCAGCCTCAAAAGCCGCTTTGTTCAACCATCGTTTTCACAAATGTAGGTTGTCGCGCTGGTGGGCCAGCCCACACCCACGTTGCAGTGGCACTCCGCAGTGCAGGACTGTAAGAGCGCAGTGTGCACAGGTGTGGGCCGCACACATCGCGATCAGCCGAGACCCTAGATGTGGCGTGCATGTGATAGCACCCCGACTGGCCACGGCGGCACAAAAACGCAGCACCACCCGTAAACAACTCATTGTGGAATCACGCGAGAGTGGTGCATATTACCTCCTGTGAGGTTGCCACGCGCGCTGGTCCCCCTCCCCCTCCAGCGGGAGGCAGGGGGAGGGTAATGATGACGTAACCGGACCGCTCGCGACGGCCGCTCTACGGGAGGTGGTTTAGAGACGGAGACTCCGGCACGGACAAGAATGACGTCACCACAGAGACAAAGGCCCGGCTGCCAGGCGGGCAGGAGCGAAACGGGTCGACTGTACGGGAGGCGACACTAGTGAGAGCGCTCAGCGGGGGAGTGGTCAAGGGAGAGTGACTGAACAAAGTCAGACCCAGTGAAATGCAGCACTGACGCAGAAACGGCAGAAACCATGGCAGCATGACAGGCTTGTGACATGTCGCTGAATATACCAGCGGGTCAAACGACGTGCATATGGGTGTCAGTCGGGGTTCAAAGCTTCAGAATTTGGATTAAAGTGGCGTTTTTAGTGGAGCTTGGTCAGGCCAGAAACTAATTGGACTTCGGAAAAAACGCCCAATATCGAACGCCCGACATTGGACTTAGGTATAGATCCCTAAATTTGTAAAGCAGGAAACTTGCGATAAGAGGAAAATAATCTCCTGCAGTACTGCAATAATAAAGATAATGCATTGGCTTAAGGGGCCTCCGAACTGCGCTGCATTACTGAGTTAGCCCAGTAGTCGTGAGAGCAGATCTCTAGACGTAATAGTAATACGATGCAACTCCTCAAATACACAAATCAGTGAGTGAAATCATGCTTGTAGTTCACCAAGAACGTATTCATTTCTCCGGTCGAGGCCATTGGCGCAGCAGCACTCAATAAGAATGAGCCAATAACGACACCGTTGTCTGAAGCCGCCGACCCCCGTCTGAATAGCCGGAACTGATTGCGAAACAAACAAAGCCGCAGATGCCACACTCATGGTTCGTGGCTGGGACAAAGCCGCGCAGAGGCACCACCCTCATGGGTCTTAGACGGAACAAAGCCGCAGAGACCACCAGGGATGCGGAGCCGGAGCCGGAGTCGGAGCCGGAGCCGCCGGAGCCGGCATATTTTGCCCGGAGCCGGAGCCGGAGCCGGAGCCGTGAAACAATATAGCCCGGAGCCGGAGCCGGAGCCGGAGCCGCCAAAAAAGGGGGCGACTCCGGCTCCTTTTTATTTTTTGAAGAGGAAAAAATAATTGACCTAGTTCGGTTTGACAGTAGGTACAAGGCAGTAAAACATATCGTACTATTGGTCTCAATATAAGTGCCCAGGCGACCTGTAGTTTTGATGCGGTGAATACCCTCATCCTCGCCACAATGCGAGTGGGGGTGGCGCTGGCTGGGAGGAGGGGTGCACTCGGCCCGAGTTGTGGCGAGGGTAAGGATATTCACCGCATCAAAACTACAGGTCGCCTGGGCCCTTATCTTGAGACCAATAGTACGTCATGGGCCATCAAGTGAATGAAAAAGCCGAATATCCCCAGTATCCCACAGTACGCAATCAACTTCCTGTCTGCTCCTCCCCCCCCCCCTCACGTCTATTGCATCCCCAGAACATGAGGACCGGTCATCAGGTGACGGCCATTGTTTTGAAGCCAGTGCAGTGGACTGCGACTCCCAGCACCGTCTCTTCCCACCCCCCCCCCCCCCACCCCCCAATGCAGCCGAGATGGGTGTCAGCTTACGATGGTTCAGTGAACTCCGATTTGCGGCGACTGCGTTTCCAATGCCATCGCTTCCTAGTCCTTTGTTCTGCCAGTTCTCTCCGAGGTGCGTTTGCGCGGGGACGCGGTGAGCCGGCGCGGTCATGGCAAGAGTAGGTAACGCGTATAACCAATCCAATTTTTCTTCCACCCGTATTTAATTGATTGCATAGGGGATGTACTGAGTCGAAGCCGGAGCCGCCGGAGCCGGACCATTTTACTCGGAGCCGGAGCCGGAGCCGGAGCCGCCATAACATTTCACCCGGAGCCGGAGCCGGAGCCGGAGCCGATTTTTTTCTCCGGAGCCGGAGCCGGAGCCGGAGCCGTTTGAAATTTCCACGGCTCCGCATCCCTGGAGACCACACACATGATTTCGGAGCTGGAACAAAGTGCACGGCTGGGAAGGATGTGAAACTGTGCCGACACGCGTGCGGCGTGGCGCTGTTGTGTGATGATGTCATCGGTTTCCGGGTGACTGGCTATTCAATTAGTATGCGTCACGACGGCGGCAGCAGTGGACTGGTGGACGAGACAATGGTCTAGGAACGGGATAACTCGATCAACCAGCCACCATTCATAACCCAATGTTTCCTCCTAATTCTGATATTTTTCACGGTATCTTCGTAAATTGATTAACAAAAGCGGAGGGTAATCCAGAAACTTGGACAACTACAACTCCATTTATCGAACATCTTCTGTGTCCGCCACAGTACAGCACTAGCAGGAGGCAGGTCATAACCGAATAAAATAATGAAGAAAACAGTGCTAACCGGATATCAACCAAGCCACGAAATTGTTCCAAATGAATCCAAAATTAAGTGGTATAAACTCCAGATCTTGATATTTTTACTCTTGTACAAATAAATCATTAGGGCTGACTTGAGAGATACTCGTGAACAGCCTCGAACTTTGGAGTTCGGACGCATTTCCTAAGCCTTATCCAGATTGCGACCTCCCAGAGCCCGTGGGCGACTTCAAAACAGTCCAGGGGTTCCTAGTGGACTAGGGTCTCGTCGTGTCTCCCCCGCCGACAGACCCCATTTCAGACACGCCGCTCGGCCGTGATTCGTGAATGACTGGCGTGAGTCACCCCGGGGCGTCCCAGTCCGACCGACAGAAGCCGGCTTTCCTGGCGCCACCAGCCCTCCCGTCCGGTCGCACGAGGCCTCCACTCGACTCCCCGCTGTGTCCAGCGGGGTCTACCGTCGTTAGACAAGCCCTCTGTCCACAGCGATACGAGCTTTTCCTCCTAGTGCGATGCATGTTCAGTGTTCACAGCCAGCAGCGCCGGCGGTGGGCGTAGAGGCGGCGGAAACCGTGACTACCCAGAGCACCGAGCACGTTAGAGCAGAGCCATCCCACACGGCCCACCTCACAGGGTGGATATAAGGCCGCGGGCTAATGATTGCGGTCGGAGCTTCGGGATATGCTTACTGATCGGGTCATCCACATGGGTGCTCCGGGCAGTCGGCTGAGACGGAACACGAAGATATGGGACGGGATGGGACGGTGCCAGGCAGCGACGCAACGCGACGGGACGGGACAGGACGCGACGCAGCGCGACGGAACGGGACGGGACAGGACGGGACGGGACGGGACGGGACAGGACAGGACTGGGAAGCGACGCTACGGGACGGAACAGTGCCGGAACGGGACGGGACGGGACCGGGCAGCGACGGGACGGGACGTGACGGAACGGGACAGGACGGGACCGGAGCGGATGGGGCAGCGACGCGACGCGACGGAACTGGAACGGTGCCGGAACGGGACGGGATGGAACGCGACGGCGCCAGGTCGGACCGGAGCGGATGGGGAAGGGACGCGACGCGACGGAACGGGACGGGACAGTGCGGGGGCTGGGGTGAGATCAGATGGAGTAGCGTGGGCGGGTACTGGATAGTCTGACACATCAACCCGTTTTGCTGCGTTGTGGTGACCATTGTCAGTGCAAAGCCCCAATGACTCGGTACCGGTGCCGGCATTCACAGTCTAAAATATCGTAACCGCGAGGAACTGGAGCTGTTAAAAAAAGAACAGACACAGACAATAGCAGACTCGACGGAAAACAGCAACCAAACGTTGACAGAGTGGATTTACGGGATGAGTTGAGATACCGAGCATTGATGAGCATTGATATCGATAGGATAGGAATGTCCGAACTACGGCGACCGACTTTGCATAACCGGTTTGTGGTGTAAGATGGACGCAAATGTGAGTAGCTAATCGGCCGCGGCTTAGCCAAACTCTCCCGGCCTGCATCAGCCTTGATACATAGAACAACATCAATGCAATGAGTTTCGCTGACGTCCTGTAGCCAAAAAGTATTCACGCTGGCAAGGTGCAGCACTCCAGGAAGACTGGCTATTATTTTGAACTCAGGTAATCTGACCTCGCCTATGTCCCTATCAATATGCTCAATACGTCGCCGGCGTGTAGCACATATAAAATAGACGTAGCCCACTCGAGTAGCTCTGTCCGTGTGTTGGCAAGGATGGCCCGGAACTGTGCCTCGGACGAATATGCTTCAGCCGTGCGCGAGCGGTGGTGATGGATCGCTGCCCTTCTGCCGCCGCGCCGGCTCCCCAACAACAATCACAGCCGAGTGGGCCAGTAACTCACTACAGGCGAGGCAGGATCGCCTGCCCGACTGCCGCTGGATCTGCAGCTGGGTGGTTCAGTAACTCCAGCAGCCACACTACAGCAGCCCAGACTACAGTCTTCAGTCTCCGCAAACTATAACAGAGATCTAACAGTTGCGGCAAAAGCCCTGTCCAGCGGTGGTCCTTACCTGAGTGCCCATCATGGTGTAGGTTTTCCCGCTGCCCGTCTGGCCATAGGCGAAAACACAGGCGTTGTATCCGTCGTAGGCATTGTCCACGACATCGGAGCCAAGATTCTGATAAATCTGAAATGACAAACAGAAAAGGTTCATGGGACAACAAGGCAACGACGATAACGCTGTGTAGCTTTCCATCGTTTCCTTCATTGCGTTCCAACCAGTCGGATCAATCGTTTACAAAACCTACAAAACCAATCGTAACTGATCTCTTGTTCCACCCATTCTTGGAACAAACATCGATAATATACCAGAAATAGAGCGTTACGTAAATCCCGACAAAAAAACGAAGTTCGGCGCACGACCCTCTCTACAAACGTTACTCAAGCGATAAGCGCAGGTCGAGGACCGCAGCGGAAAAAGAGAAGAGCCCTCCGCCTCCCCCCCCCTCCCACCACACACACATACGCGCACAAGCACGCAAAGCAGCCGCCCACCTCCTCCTGAGAGTGAAAGACGGGCTGCTGCGGGTCCAGCGACCAGTACGAGTAGTCGTATGTGAACTCCTTGACATCCTCGCACTTGGTCGTGTCCACTCGTTCACCAGGCTGAAATAAGAAAGTCCGTGCGAAAGTGGCAGTGAAGTGGTAGGTGGGAGGAGACGAAAGCATGTCGAGAAGACAAGGGCGGGTAACGGGCAATCAGGGGTGGCTGGTAAAACATAAACGGAAAACGGAAGCGGTGGTGGTTGTCCCGAAACGCGGTATCACTTGATTGAGAAAGGGGGCAGTTCGTAATGTTAACATTGACAGACACTGATAATGGCACGCTGTGAAACACAGGAACGAGTGATGAAGCGTCAGGACGCTGTCGACGGAAGTGTTATCAGTCAGATGATAAAAGCCAAGGCACAGTCGATCAGGGGCTGCCGACGAAAGGGCAGAGCACGCCAGCGAAAGATAGGAGATGTAATAACATAATGATGATTTCAACTTAATCGGAGTTACGGGGAATTAACAACCGGGTTATATAAAATGTTTATGTGACATAAAAAGATCCGTTTAAAAGCGGCACAGTTATGGGCTGCGTAACTTTAGAAAACAAACATACAGTAACACTCCAGTTCACGAATCACATGACTATCATCGGGATGTTTTACAGAAAGGACGGGTACCATGGGAACTCTAAGCAATGTTGCCACGTACAGGTCGCTGGTGGGGAGCGTCTAATACAAGCGACAGCATACCTACTGCTTAACCAAAATCATGAAACCATTTCTTATGCAGCGCAAAATAAATATAGGTACCCTAAAACTGAAGCTTTTTTAAAAGCACGGGGGTTTTCCCTAATGGAGTGGCATTGCTCGACAATTATGTATGCAGCCATCAAGCACAATGGTTTAAGTGATCTAAGACGACTTGATAAAAAGTCGTGGCACGGTCACAGACCACATATGCGTTATGCACTCTGTTCCCCGCAAAAAAAAAATCAGCAGACACGGCCGGGGTAAGATATCGCAGGCCGTCGGTCCCGTTTGGTGTAATGCAGGGCTCCAACACCCTCGGATGTACCCATTAGCTCCATTCATGACCCCATACGAGTCTCAAAATAAGGAGTGCAAAGGTAACTTCAACAAATGTGCTATGGCGTCATTTGATTAATGATTTATCAAAGCACGACGAAAACGGCGCGCCTCGAAAGAAATGACATCGTCACGCAAGCAAGCGGGGCACGTCACGTAACACGTAACATAATATATTGCACCACCGAGCGTCACTAAAAGCAGTGAAAGACACTAAAGACAAGAGCACAGCATACATCGGGATAATCAAGAAGCGGCAATGTGAGAGGTCGGTGCATTTGTATTGTGTCATGCTCAGCCTGATTGGGATAAGCAATGATGAACATTGAACATTACAGACAACGGCTGGGCTAGTGTAGTATTCCCCTTGTCCTTGTTCGTTTACTGGGGATTCAAGGCGCATGGAGTTTAGCGGTCACTTTGTGAGCGCCGGGTGGTATTCCCCGTCCTAATGCTTCCGCGTCACTTCTGCTGGTCTTTGGCGTGAGGGTACTCTCACCCCAGACCTCGCTTAGTGACCTGAACGATCACAGCACACGGGTAAGATATCATTTAGGCCATTCCCAGCCCATGATATTGTCGTAGGGCAAGGGCGGATCTAGGGGGTCGTTTTGGGGGGGGTCACCAGTCGGCCGACATACCAGGTCTGGTGAATGAATTCTGACGACCGGGGGGGGGGGGGGGGTAGGGAGCGAGTATGTCGAGATCAAAAAATGACATTTGATCTTCGTCGTTTATAAGATGAAGTTTTATCGTAAGTCACTCGGCTCAGTAGTTTTAGTTAGTGAAACCCACCTATATAGGAGCGTCGCCACGGATTTTTTACTGGGGGGGGGGAGGCGGGTCGACCGACTTAAAAACCCAGAAGTAGATATAGTTACCTCACTTTTAGCCTAATGCATTAGTAAATAGTAGCATACAGTCACGATCTCTCTTATTGACCTGTGTATGAATCGGCGGCGCGAAGCGCCGCAAAAATTTGCAAAAAAAAGTTGTCAAAACACAGCTCTAAAACACAAATATTACAACCTTTTTAGCATGCTAGTACAAGCCGGAGTTCCTTCACAGTACACATATGAATTCCGATTCAATTTGACACGGTTGGTGTTATTACAGTCACTGTTATTTCTCTCTTATTGATTGGTGTATAAATCGGCGGCGCGAAGCGCCGAGAAAATTTGCAAAAGAATGTGTCGAAACACAGCTCCAAAACACAAATTTTACCACCCTTTTAGCATTGCAGTACAAGCCGGAGTTCCTTTACAGCACACATATGAATTCTGATTCAATTTGACACGGTTGGTTTATGTAATTACAGTCAAGATTTCGTATTGACCTGTACGTATGTACATAAATCGGCGGCGCGAAGCGCCGCGAAAAATTTGCAAAAACATTTGTCAAAACACAGAGGGGGCCTCCTCTCTACAGAGGACCACCGATCTCTACTGCGGGCCTCCTCTTTTCACAGGGCCTCTTAACTACAGAAGCTACAGGGCCTCCTCTCTACAGAGGGCTTCCTCTCTACTGAGGGTCTCTCCCTTTAAGAGGGCCTCCTTTACAGAGGGCCTCCTCTCTTCAAAGAGCCAGAGGACCTCATCTCTGCAAAGGGCCTCCTCTCTTCAGAGGGCCTCTTCTCTACAGAGGGCCTCCTTTCTTCAGAGGGCCTCTTCTCTACAGCGGGTCTCCACTCTTCAGAGGGCCTTCTGCATTCAGGCGGTCTCCTTTCCACAGAGGGCCTCCTCTCTACACAGGGCCTCCTCTCTACATAGAGCCTTCTCTCTATAGCAGGTCTCCTCTCTACAGAGGGCCTCCTCTTTAAAGGGGTCTCCTCTCTACAGGGGGCCTCCTCTCTACTGAGGGCCTCCTTTCTACAGAGGACCTCCTCTACAGAGGGCCTCCTACCTACTGAGGAGTCAGAGGGGCCCTAGCGGTCAGACACAGACACTAGCGGTTATTCACTGGAGGCCCCAGGAAGTAAGAAGGGCCCTAGCTGTCAGGCTGGTCAGAGGGCCCTGAATGTCCTGACGTGATTTTTGGGATTCCCGTGAATTTCTTTCGCCTCAGACGTGATTTTGACCTGCCAGGGCCCAGGGGCACTAAAAATAAAACAAACAAAATAAAAAATGAAAATAGGACATCACCAAAATTAAGTGACCGAAATCCGTTGAGTTTTTAATTTTGCGTATAGGTAGGGGCACCACGAATTAAATTCATGACCATCCCCTTGGAGTTTTCCTGGATCATCCCCTGGTGCTCGCACGGTTGAGACAAAAACGAGTAAGATTCTGGTCTTCAATACGCCTTTTCACGCAACACGATCCAGAAAAACAAAGGTATTAGCTCAGAAGTGTTTGACAGGTGATTTTGAGCATGCAAGACGGCGTCTATAGCGCATTTAGGTCTTCGGCTTTTGGGGGGGGTCAAATGACCCTCTCAGACCTTTTGGGGGGGGTCATGACCCCGTGGACCCCCCCCAGGATCCGCCAGTGTCGTAGGGTAAGGGCGGGTAAGAGTACGCGGGTGATAAGAGTACGCATCAGCTGTTTCGGTTGCTTAGCAACGCGGGTTTGTCGAGTTCATGAAGTGACATGAAGCCGCCAGTGCGTGCATGTCACCAACGGAACGTGGGCGTTGAGCGGCGACGCTGTTGAGTTTAAGGCGATGAATATTATTTTCGAGCGTTATGATATTATTATGATATGGTACAATAATTTTGATACTTGGCAGTTGAGATAAGGTACATTTCCGTGATTGTTGTGGGAAACTTGTGAGGTTATCTGGGGAAATACTGTACAGTGCAATATTCTGTTTGCGAAGTTTTGCACAACGTTTCGGGGTTGTTTTGTGCGCGAATTGATGTACGGTAAGAGGACGCACTGTTCAGGAGGGTAAGAGTACGCAGAATTATACATTAAATCGAATATACAGAAATATAGAATTATTTATCTATCGCTCAATGACGTTTGTTTTGTAGGTATATCATCAATGGAGCACTGTGATGCAGATGCGTACCCGAAATTCTTCCAAATACGAGTTATTCTCCTTTTTGATTGTGCATTTTTTTTAAGAAACACGCGACATGATTTTTTCCTGATTTATAGACTTGAAAGATTAATTTTATGTTTTTCTTTTTGGATACTAGAATTAACTTAAATGCCCTCTGAGTTTGAAGTTAAGCATTTGGACAGTGCAAGCTGCATAGGTGTGTTTTCATATGCTTGCGTACTCCACCCGCCTGGCGTGCGTACTCTTACACACCCCATATGGTAAGAGTACGCAAGTGCAACGGTTCAGAAAATGTCAGTTTTAGACCACTTCCATTTACGCTGAAGGATTGTTGCCCCATGGGTTGATGGCTAATTCAATGAACTTTAATATTCCCTATTTGCGATTTCTTTCCTTCAAATATTAAACAAATGAGAGCAAGAAATCCACTAAGTGCGTACTCTTATACGACTTCACCCTATCACGTAACTATTAGCATCCCGTCCGCAAATGAATTGCTGTTTTATTGTTTTCTTTGACTTTGAATTGCAAACTCAGTTAGGTACCACGCAAATGAAATCAGTCGTGCATGGCTGTGCCAAACATGTGTTCTAATCGTGACAAGTAACAATCATCAATCATCATGATATTCATCGTGGCTCTCATTACCTTCGCATGTTGCGCATGTTGAGCCAATTGCAACGATCCACAATTTCAGAGAATTTTTTTTTTTTCTAATGTAAGCGTTACTGCAGAAATACACCTGATTGCATTGATTGCATTGATATCTCGCGTTACATGCAAATACTATAAGCCATTTTCTATCGAGGGTCTATTAATATCTCACTGTATGTAAGGTGTGTAAGGCTCCTAGTGAAATCGACGATCACCGACTCTGAATGAGTAATGACTCTGAATCGGTTCGGTACCTTATGGAAGGCTCCTAGTAAATCAGCGATTGTCAACTCAGCTCTGCCGCCCAAGTGCCGCCGTTGTCAGTCCGCTAGGTAGTAATGTATGCGAGCTGCGAACACAGCTGAGAGGACCGTCCGCATACCGTGACCTTGAGCGGCTGACCCCAAGGTCACGGGTATGGGACCGCCGCGCACAGCAGAGGTAGTCACCTGACCGATACGGTACGCTGTCGGTAACGGTCCTCGAGTGCAAGAAGTGACCTCGCGTTATACATATGGCCACGATAATTTAAATCAACGTGATAGGGAAGACCTGAATCTGAGCTACCCATCGTTCTCGCAGTTTGAAGTTTCGGCCGTCTGGACTGCGAACTAGACCACCAGCTGCCATAAGGTTAACAACGCTGATTGAAACATGACTTGCGGCGATAAGAGCTGGACGGATTCAAGGGATTCAAGACCGAAGTAGGTAATTTAGTAACAACTCTTACGACTATTTTGGATGCTGCCTGCCGCTTGTCCCAACATGACCATAAATAAGCCAAGATGCTATGCACGTCAAGTGTGATGTAAAAACGACCAAGGTTCCGGCACGTTCCTTACCTTGGGATTAGTGATGGTCGTCTTCCTCCCGTTCATCGATATACAGAGCTGGGCGTTCATATCGATCTCCCTGAAAATGATGGAGTGATTAGACAAGGGTACAAATGAAATTAGAAACTGCGTTGTGTGAACAGGCAATCTTGGAATTATCCAAGAGACACCGCAGTAGGCATAACCGTTTTTCAGTGTAAACTTAGTAAATATAACCGCATACAGGTATAACCGTTATTAGCGCCGTATTACTAGGTATGCGCATTGTGCAATGCACCTATTGCATGCATAGCTATTCAGGGGACTGGGTTTCAGCCAACTTTGCCAGGGTGAGTGGGGTAGGTGTACCTATTTGGCCACAACCCACTACCTCGATAATCAATAAAGGTAGAAAGACGCGAAATGGCGATCGATAGGACCCGAACGTAGATATATTGGACAGGTATGTAGTAAAGAGCAAGTAGCATACGAATATATTATATGTAATTGCTACTTGAATATATTCGTATGCTACTTGCTCTTTACTACAGGATCCGAACGCTTTGAAAAGTATTCCGGTCAACCTTCGCACAGGTCGATGCCGAGGCCACAGAAGGCCAAGTTAAGAGTTCCTTTCTAAGGCCAATGTCCACCGCCGTAGCTAGTGAATTAGGAAGATGTCAATTGTTAAATACAATCAACAACTCATCAAACGACCTAACTCCTAGAAGACATACAGTCAGATTTAATCTCTATCGAACCCATCGATTTTCTAAAAACGCTCCGGCCGATGGGAGTGGCGATATAACCTTTCGCCGTTTACCACCTTATCAAGCAAAAGCCTCGCCGAAATAGGGATCGCTTGTGCCGCTACGAGACGCAGCGACTGGTGCACGATTTTAACCCTCGCCAGGCGAGGGCCTTTTCCATAACACGGACGGCGAGGGGGGGTTGGTACATACGACCCCCCCCCCCCTGGCGATTGGCTCCTATGGCACTTATAAACGCCAAATTTACAGGGTAGGTGGGTCAATAGGAGATCTTGCCCCTGTGAAAGTTTGGTGACTCTAAGTCAATATTTAGGGGGGTTTTGCGGGTATGAGTGCAAAAATTTTCCTAAAACATGTCAAACCTTTTTCGCTTATAACTGTTTACCTAGTAAAGATAAAGCGAAAATAAAAGCACCAGTGAACTCAGGACGTCCGTGCGCATCGAATGATATACTTTGTTACCAATTTAAGTGAACTCTGGAATTCAGTTGCCGCTAAGCTAGTCCAATTTTCCCCTGACCTTGTACAGGTTTTTGTGACCTGGTGACCTGACCTGAAAGGACTGGGACTTCAAATTTTCAGGATAGGTGCGAAAAGGTTGCACCAAAGGGTATGCCAAATTTGGCGCCGCCGTTTTTACGTTATTTGCGAAAAACCTTAGGAGTTGCATCAACCCCCCCTCGCCGGGTGAGGGTTAAGGCTTCCAATAACCTAACCAATGTCACCAATAACCTCTGAGGTCAGGTCAAAAGACCCAAGATGGGGTTCAATTAGATAAGTAAAAGAAATTGACCTTTTCCTCGACATTTAAGATGCAAAAAGCCGAAAAATGTATTTAAAAAAACGGTGAGCTTTCGGCCACTGGCCTTTATCAAACCAACGTTACAGCAATAACTGTATAGTAATTGCTGTAACGTTGGTTTGATAAAGGCCAGTGGCCGAAAGCCCACCGTTTTTTTTATAAATACATTATTCGGCTTTTTGCATCTTTAATGTCAAGGAAAAGGTCAATTTCTTTTACTTATCTAAATGTATTCAATATGTTCCTCGCTCGAGCACTTAACAATGTTACCAAACCATGAATTTCTGAGTTGATTGATGAACAAGACTAAGTCTACTGTAGTGTCTTGAAGAGTAGCTGTTTGACAGTTGACAGCAGCTGACACTCACCTTTGATTGAAGGGGCGAACGCGAACAGCCACCCTCACAGAATCCATGGTTGGCTGCAAAATTGATTGGAATTTGTCAAAAAGGTAGGGACAATTCAGTTGCCCCACACGTATGTTCAGCTTGAGCATGTAGGTACATAACCACATCAACATAAGATGTCACCAGACACCAAGACAGTGGCATATGAGAATTACACAAGTCAAAGCAGGTACCCCCCCCCCCCCCCCATCAGCATGTTGCACCCATTAATCGTTACGTTATCAGTGGATATATAGTCACAGGATGAAGTATTGTTATGGCCCGCAATATCAGTTACCCAGCCAGTTCCGTGATTATGATTCATTCACCCAACTCACCTGTACAAATAGGCTGAGGCCACAAATTTCGGTGTGGTGTCACAAATGTTGTCTCAGTCTTTTGTAATTATAGTTGACTAATTTTCATCTTTAACATATTGCTCATAACAATAACCAATCATTCAAACCCAAGTTCCAAAATTCAGCTAAAATCCGATAGAAGCCCTAATGACAAGGCGTTTCACGCATACTAAAGTGAATTGCATCGCGATCGGTCCCAGGCGCACACCACCACTCATTACAGCAATTCCTCAGCAACTAACTTATACGGCCTTGCAGCAACTGACGCACTCGGCAGTTGTTTACTTGGCCCAATATCGATATCTAAAGCACAGCAAAATATCATGGTGGACATTATTTGGCAAAGTGCTTAGCCAGTTTAAATTTCCCACCATATGTGATAGAAGAAGGACAAAAATATTGTAGTATATTCACTTACAGATTGATAAATGTTTTCAATATAAATTTCCATTATCACCTTCAAATGTTACACATTCTATGCAATGTGCTGGACCCCAAGCTGGAACCATTTTTTTAATCAAGCTGTGAGGCGTAGTATGTCGCTTTGATTTTATTTTAGATGTTAAATATATTAAATTTTTCAATATGCAACAAAAGGTTCCAAATTCTAACCATCATTTTTGTATAACTTAATATAGTTGAGCGACTGTGATGTCAATTTCCTATAAACCTATTGCAGCATTTTAGTACTTATGTTTATTTATGATTGACGCAAATGCGCCATAACTGGCGACGGTAAAACACGTTCACGTTGCGTTCACGCGGACGCCGGTGAAAACAGGGCGCCGGAGGGCATATTAGTCACGTGACATTTGGAACTTCTCCCGCTCCAAGGGCCTTCTATATGCCAAACGTCACGTGTAAATTTCACGAACCTTGATCAAATCGCCCCAGGCGCCCTGTTTTCACCGTCGTCCGTTCACGCGCACGTGTGTTGGGCGTTTAATTTTTGTGGTATTGGATTTAGGCAAGGCCATCGATTTAGGAGTTTTGGGGTCGCAAGAGGTGTGGACTGAGGTGTTTTGTTTCGGATTTATTCGTTTTGACTGATTTTTCTTTAGATCCTATATACCAATACCTGTCATTCATGATTCAAAGGGTCACCTTTCAATCTGCTTCAGCCTGCTTGACCTATCATCACAATCAGTAAAGCTGGTGTCTCTGTCACCGTATCTCTGTATCAGTATCTAACCTAAACTAACCTTGACCTGACCTACCACCGAATCTAGGTACCTGCTCTGGTACTGGTAGCGCTATCGTGACATGGTGACTTCACCCATATGTATTAGCTGTTTCACGCCTCACGGAGATCAATTTGGCTTGGAAAAATGTACTCGCAGGCCGCAGCGCTCACTGATCATCCCATGAAAATTCACTTTCGGAAAGTCCAGGAGCCCGGAGCTGCTACCTTAGTCGGCAAAATTGGTATCGGCCATATCTGTTTTTACTCTGGCTAACACTAGGACCAGCACTAGGGTGGCACTTAAAAATCAATTTTTGATTTTTAATGCGTGCGGGTGGTTTTCCGGTTCCATTCCCGTAAAAAATAAGGGAGGCAAATTTTTATGGGAAAATATTGATGTTTAGAGGTCGCGAATCAAGGTAAAAATTGAGATTTTGGTAGCATATTTCAATATCATTAAAATTGCTTCTGAGTTTCCTATTACGCTATAATCGGATGATAATAAGGCATTTCTTAGTCATTTTCATATTGTTTATTGATATTCCATGCAGCTTCGGCCACGCCAGAACGCTGGTATATGTACTCCACTACTCCAGTTCCTCCTCTTTAGTAGATTATTGGCGCCTCATTGGAGGGAGGGGTATCATGGGCAACGGGCACCCAGATCACTTTGTGTGTAGCCTGGTTAGCAATTGCAGTCGATCTTCGGGTGTCAGGTTAGCGTTTTATGTGATCTTTTCAACGACATGGAGGAAGAACTGGCGCTAATCTTTGTCTTCCATGAGTGCCAGTCCTACATCAGCGCCATACCGCGCCTGGTGAAGTCATTCACCACCCGCAGCTCCCGGACTACACGAGCTGCGGTTTGGTAGCCGCTGTCCTCCCAGTGGCCTTGGTCATTGATGATGAGCCCCGCGTCCAGGTCGTGTATCCTTGAGAGCTTTTTGAACGATGGTGTGAGGAAGCTCGCCAACGTCTCGGTCGCGAGAGCGGCGTTCATAGTGTCCACTAAGGACTTACGGGGCGGGTCCCCTCTCCTACAAGTCTATTGCCCGCACCATGTCTTGATTGAGCCCGAGGGTCGGGGTCTAAAAGCTCCAGAGTCACCAGCCGATCACTCAATTACTACAGGTGACGGCCGAAGACCGGGACTGTCGCCTTCGACAGCTCCTTGTCGGGGTAGGTGCAGAACGAGTTCACGAAGGTCAGGTCCAGAGCCGGCGCAGTGGCAGTAGAGTCCCAGACCAGGCGGCGGCGGCGGCGGCGAACTTGCAGGCAACGAACAGCGCACAGCGTCTGATGACCTGGGCCTCGGCCGCCGTCAGCCGGAGCCGCTCCCTGAAGAGGAAGGCATCCACGGTACGGATGGTCTTTGCCATCCACCTAACTCAGTGGAGTACTCTGAGGCGGAGAAACGGATGCCGTGCTTGGAACTCCACCGAGAGCAGTTACGCAGAGCTCCAGAAGTTTTCGGTAGTCTTCCCGGAGCTAGGCATAGTCCAGCGATGGAAGCGATGGAAGCTTACCAGCAGCTTGTCCCACTCCGGAACGTCGTCGACGGCGAACGCCACCGGTGTGATCCTGTCAATGAAGCATGAACTCCCATCCGCCTTTGAACCTCTTAAACAGCCGGATGTAGAGGCCGCTCGAGATTCTACGGCAGGTGGAGAAGGCCTTCTCTAGGACCAGCTCTTACACGTGGTGCCGGCAGGCCAGCTGGAGGACGGGCCGATCCAGCTTCTGCTCGATAAGGGCAAGGCCCTAAATGATAAGGGCTAAAGTACCGTTCACCAGCGTGCTGTTCGCCGTCGTGGCGTCGAAGCAAAAGGCCGCAGTTTCGCTTCTCCAGTTCCTAGCCTCCCAGCGCTGTGAGCATGGCCTCCTGTGCTTGGATGGAGGGGAGTTTGGGAACGGCGAGGAGCTTGGCCACCCTAATCCCCCCCCCCCATCACCAGGACCTAGAATCGGTCGACGCTCCTTCTCTCGCGGTTCAGGATTCGCGGTTCAGCCGGAGCCGTATCAGAAGTTCCGTGCCGCAGTTGATAACAGGCTCACGTGTTCTTCACACATTACGGTTGGGCAGTTTGGCCCGGTCGAGGCCAGTTCACTGTTGGGGACGTCCACTCGCCCGCATGCGCTTGGGAGTGTGAGTCGACGTTTCTCTCTCATGGTCGCCATCGTCAAAGACGTTCCCTCCGTGTGCGCGCCGCGACGGCCGGGTAAGTCTGTTGCTGGCACTGGCACTATGTAGAGTCGGAAGAAGCGCCCGCGGAAGAGCATCCCGAAAGCACAATAAACCAGCGCAGCTCAATGCCCACTCTCGCCTCTGCTTTCCCCCGCCGGCGATAGGCTGGCTCCAACTTCTTCACATTCTCTTTGACAGAAAAGGAGCATGTCTCAAGAACCGATAGAACTGTGGGGCTCGTCCTCCCTTTGGAACAGGAGAGACCGTTCACTCCTCACACTCATAAGAGGATATGACCTCCACTGTGAGAGAGAAGGCACCGGTCGCAGGCCAAAAACAGGCCTGACATGGGTAAAACAGCCCAGATCAGACCTGTCTTGGCGTGACCTGGACTGGCTACGATCGACCGGAAGTGATGGGATAAGCAATTGTTATACAAATAAAGGTCAAAATACGTCGGATATGACGCTTAATGACCATATATGTCATTCCAAATAGGTTTAAAGTAGTTTCCAAAAAGTTGATTTTTTCCCCCAAAACTGCCAACTTTGACCTCAATTCGCGACCCCTAAATATCAATATTTTTCAAAATTATTTTGCACACATTATTTTTTACGGGAATGGAACCAGAAAACTACCCGCACGCCTAAAAATCGGATAACATAAAATTCACCCTATTGCTAAGTGCCACCCTAACCAGCACTTACCGCTTCCGAAGTACAGGCAAGGTCTTGAGCTCTACTGGAGCTGTTATGTGATCCCAGAGGGTAGAGCTCACCCGCACCACAGCCAGACTAATGCCACATCAGTAGGCGGAACTATGGTCAAGCGTACCCATTTTCGGGAACGCATTTTCGTTCCCATGTTTGGGAACGATAAACCCAAATATGGGAACGCCATGTAGCCATTAGTTAAAACAAGAAAAAGAACCGTTAAATGACGTCCAAAAAATATAAAACGATCGTGAACCGCCTGATATTTGTCTCAATATTGTCGGGAAAGAGTTTGATATTGTAAGGCCCATCGTAGTTTCAAATCGTTCCCCTATTTCTAAAGCAGTCCATCATCCGGGCCGCGAGCCCAAATTTGGGAACGCTCTCGTACACTGGCGCTGCAAGCGTTCCTTATTATGGGAACGGCGTACCCAAAATTGGGAACGATTTCACCGACGCCTTTCAGGGGCTCTTTTCATTAACAAGCATCACGTCCAACGCCGCAAATTATTGTTAACGCAACAATCATCAGATGACCTTTCCGGCAAGACCGTCGCATGTTTCGCCCGGTCTTCTGCGCTTTTATTCCCGTCGATCTCGCAGCGGGCACGCCCCCCTCTGCAGGATTACGTAATTCACAACGCTCAGCGATGTTCAACAAGGTCTTCCATATATCCACCGTCCGTGCCGAGGGCGGAGACATGTCAAGCACCTGTCTGTTTATCACCGATAGTTGACGAGTACAAGGAAGTATCCAAAAATGGGAACGCTGAATATGTTACACCCCCAAAACACCTAGTCCCAATGAAAATCTAGTTTTTTCCTTTCTTAATGAGTGTAAGTGGCAAAAGGCCTGGTAGGATGGGCACGAGGAATGATCGAAATCAGCACAGAAATTATAAATAAGCCACACAGAGCGACCTATATAAGAGAAATTCCCCCAAAACGATCATGCTTAGAAACACGGAAGACAAAAACCACGCTCATGACGCTCCTTATAAAACAACGCTTAACAGCTAGCATCCAAATAAAATATGTCTTTCCGGGCTGATAAAATACAGCTGAATAATTTTCGACCACTTAAACTGAGTTTACAACAGTAGTTCGGTAAAATCACGCACGTTCTACGCGGTCGTCGGCCTCGACACCAAATGTCAACAATATTGCCTCGGGACTGTCCGCGTGTTCGCTTGCATATGTCAGCATCTGGTGTCGCTAGTATGA